ACCTAAGTTACCACAACACTACGTTGTAGTAATGAATAGTCATATTTATATAAATAAGTTTTATTTTAGTAATATTCTTGTAAGAAAACCATTTTTAAATTTGGGGTGGGCCAAGGCCTAGGTTGGCCACCCCTATCTCCGCCCATGTCTCCTCCCCCTCCGGACTCCACAGCTCTACTTTATTAGCTATTCATGTGGTCTCCATATCCGTCAGACCGTCACTAGGGGCGGATCTAGACTTTAATGTGGGGGGGGGGGTGCAAAATAAAATATGCGTATTAAAATATTAAATACATAAATAAAGTAATAGCCCGTTCAACAACACTAATTGATTGAATCAGATGAATACAGTGTAATTGATGAAGGTTTGAATGAAGCGGTTGAATTATATTTAACATATAGATTGTTAATAAAAGAATGTAAAATTTATTTGACAAAATAACTAAAATAATCATCTACATAAGTGCAGCATATTCAGTCTGAAAAGTAACTATAGTTTCACTTAATTTTATTATTACACTTTTGTGTGTGTGAAATCGAAAGTCATGAAAAAGTTATATTAAATGATAAGGCCGATAAACTAAAAAAAGTTGCTAACAAACGTCTCAAAATGATACGTAGTATGATACTCAAATATAATATTAAAAAGTAGGAATTTTATCAATTCAGGACCCGAAAGATAGACGAATTATCAATCCGGGACCTGAAAGATGAAATGCATCAATATAGGACCCGAATGATGAAAAACTATCAATTTAGGACCTGAATGATTGGAAACTATCAATCTAGGACCTAAGTTGTCATGAATTTTATTATTATTTTTGTTTTAAAATTTTTTAAATATTAATTAGTTTTATTAAACTAATAAACTTTTGTGAAGAAAAGTTTATCAAAAACCTATGAAATATTAGGTCCTAAATTGATAGTTTGTCATCATTCGGGTCCTATACCGAAACGTTTCATCTTTCGGGTCCTGAATTGATAATTAATCTATCTTTCGAGTCTTGAATTGATAAAATTCCTAAAAAGTATAATGTCATAGTCATATGAATAATCTAATGTCGTATAATTAATTATCTTTCTAGAGGTTTGTATCGTGTTATTACTTATATTAATTTATTTGATAATGTTAACCAATTAATTCACTAATTGGTGTAATTAAATGGAATTTTAGTTGCACCATAAGTTGAGTTAGAGCATCTGCAGTGGTGGGATGTGTAGTCTTAAAAAAATATGCCACCTCACTATATTAGACATCCTCAATTTAATTCCTTCTCCAATGCAGGTAGTCTAAGTTGACATTGCAAGAAAATTCATAGACACCATAGAAACTTCCAAGTGTAGAAACCCTCCTACACTTGATGATAAGACAAAATCAACCAATAAAAAAAATAAGAGGATGAAAAATTAGAGAGTAAACCGCATATGTAATTTTCTATCGTGATAAATATATCGATTGGCTGCTTCTTCCAATCTCCAAAGCATCTAAATGCAGAGTTCTGTCCGCCGGTAGGGCTGTTAACGAGCCGAACCGAGCCCGAACACTCAAAGCTCGAATTCGGCTCGTTAAGGAATAAGGGGTGTTCGGGTTTGAGTTCGAAGCTCGGCGAGCTTTACAAATGAGGCTCGTGTTTGGCTCGATAGGCGTTCGATGTTCGAACCGAGCGCTCGATAAGCTCGATAAATATGCCCGAATTTAAAATTTTAGATGATGCTCGTTAATAGGCTCGCGCTCGAATGGTTAGACAAGTATTCGGTTCATTAATAATCATATTTAAATTCATAAAACCATACTAATTATATTTAAATTTTGACATATATAAAAATTATATTTAAAATTTTAGGGTGTTCGATAGGCTCGAGTTCGAACCGAGCCGAAAACTACTATATTCGAGCTCGGCTCGATTAATTTTTCGAACTTAAAACTCAGCTCGAGTTCGAGTTCGAAGCTCGTTAAGCTCGGCTCGTTAAGTTCGAAAACGAGCTCGAGCTCGAATAGTTTGATAAAAGCTCGGTTCGTTAACAGTCCTATCCGCCGGTAACCCAAAAGGCACCAGCAAGTCCCGTCGGAAAAACAGGGAGACATACACCCAACAGTGGACATCTCTGCACCGGCCCAGGGGACTAGTTGGGCAAACACCAAGCTTTGGCATCCGTAGTGCCGGCCATGAGGCCATTTCACCTAGGCACTTGCCTAGGGCCTCACTTTTTATTGGGGCCTCAAAAACAAAAATTAGTTAAGCTATTATGGAGTAAGTTTTAAATTTAGTTGTTCGAAATTGGTTCTGGAGTTTGACGGAGAACTCTTTGGTCAAACCTAAACTTTTTCACCTTATTTAATGAATTGATAGTGCGGTCTGCGTTTGAGGCTTACTGTCCACTAGCCACATATGGAGTATTATCTTTTACTCCGTATCATTATATGCTCCTTTTTTATTGAACTGATAACATTTTTTTAAAGTTTTTGGTTAATAACTTAAAAAATAATTGCAATTGGGCGTTTAGTTAGTTAGCCACTACGGAGTAATATTTTATAATTGCAATTGGAGTTGTTATTTTTTTATTTTTTGTTAATGGTTTTTCTATTAATTATTATCTTTTTCTTTTTCTTTTTTAATTATTATCTATAAATATGCTAAATATGCAGGAATTATCATGACGGGTGAACGGGCAAAGAAAATTTCTCATTAATATGTAAAGAGAAACAATAAGTTGAAAAGAGATGTGGTTATTAAATTGCTTACCGACTCTATTGATCGATTGTATAGACACATTTTTCTTCCTCAAAATTGTTGGCAATGACAATGCGGATGTTGAATTACTATTTTATCTTATTTTTATGAGTATGTGTTATATAAATCACATTAATATGATAAGTGTCAAAATAAGTGGCACACTTTATTTTTTGGATTGTATTAATATTAAAATAAGTGTCAAACTTCTATTTTTTAAGCTCAAAATGCGATCGAGAAGGCATTCAAATAATTTTTTGAAGTTGACTGCGTCAAAATATACATATAAAAATGCAGTCAACTTCAAAAAATTATTTGAATGCCTTCCCGATCGAATTTTGAGCAGAATTTTGGTATGGACAAACTAGACTTGATGAGGAACATGCTCAAAAAATTTCATCAAAAAATTACACCGGGAACCTCCTTAAACGGCGGTGTTCGGACGGAGGCTCCCGTCCAAACTTTCGGACATGAACATTCTTGTATATATATATATAGTTGGGTTCAATTGTTCAAATAAAAAGAGTGTTTTATATGAAAAGTGAGAATTTATCCTGTCCATTGATCTCACCGTTCGTATCCATCAAATTTCTTATGATCAAAAGGGCTTTTCTGTCAACCCACCACTTTGTCGTATTTTATAAGAGAAATAATCACAAATAGCAATAACTTCTTCTCTCTCCGGATTCTTCGTTCCCAAAGCTTAAGAACAATATTTCGTTCTTCTAAATTAAAATGGTAACCGTACAGCCGGCTGTACGGTGAGCACCGTACAGCCGGGTATTTTTTAAATTAAATCGAACTTCATGGCTTATATCTGCGATTATGCAGTGCTCTGCTTTCTCCAATTCTTCTCAGTCATCGTCCGCACACGTCCTTTGCTCTGCTTTGTTTGATTTCTCGTTTCTTTTTTTTTAATAAATGGAACTTTAAGGCTCTTATCCCAGACTATTTCTTTGACAGATTGGGGTCTTCTTCGTGGAATCTTCCGGCACTGTCAAAATCACTTTCCTGTTACATCGTTTCCATCAACCATCCATCGCCGGCAAAGGATTTATTTCTACCGTTTCCCCTGATTAAATCCATTATCGATCCTGAATGTTCAGACGCAGGATCGAGAAATATACTTCATCACCCATATGGGCAGCATTTAAGCCCTAAGTGAAATACATCCACAAATTGCTTCTCTTGTGACTCCAACATCTCAACTATAGCGCAAATTCTGTTCCTCAAACCATCTGGCACCATTTTGCAATTACACGTTTCGATTCAGGGAACACTCATGACAATATTTTTTATATAAACCTTTTACATTTACATCTACATATTTAAAAAATGAGTTTTATGTTAAACTCAAATGAGTATAACATATAAACGAAATGAATATAAATGAATCAGTTTTAAAATGTTATGATACTCATTTTATAATATATGTATGCTCATTTTGTATCGGTGTTATACTCATTTTAAAATGTTATATCGATACTCATTTTGTAAGTTATCTATACTCATTTGATATTAGTATAATACTCATTTTAAAACGAGCATTACACCATACATTTTAAAATGTCATATTCATGCATATTGGTGTGGTGCTCATTTTAGTTTTTTCGATGCTCATTTCATAGGTTATGCATTCTCATTTGTTATTTGAGCACACTAGAGATTTTAAATGAGTTTTTTGAATTTTTTCGATACTCATTTTGTAAGTATGTATGCTCATTTTATTTTGGTGTAATATTAGACTCAATAAAGGGGGTTTGATACTCAACTAGAAAAACTGTGATTTTCATATTAATGCTCTTTTTGTAAGTTACGTATGCTCAGACAGTACATATATTATGATCATTTTAAAATGTTCTCTCAAAGCATATTTCAAAAGTACCATATTACATTAGATACTCAACCAAAACAACTATGAAGTTCATAGGAGTTTATTATAGGTACAATTTAATGAGTTTTTATAAAAGAAAAAAATAAGAAACAGAAAGTGAATTACAATATACTTCGTATGAAGTTGATATCACAATATTCATTGTTTGACTTCTAATACTCAGTAGAATACGTTTGATGCTCATTAAAAGTGTATTAATGCTCATCTAATGAAAAACGCGATTTTCACTAGAATTACAAAAATGCCACCGTTTTTTATTTGTGTTATCAGCTTTCGTGTAAAGACACAGTGCTCATTATTAGACTATTAGTACTCATTAACATTGGACTACTGCTCATTAACATTACACCAATGCTCATCTAGCAGAAACCGTGATCTTCACTATATTTACAAAATTGCCACCGGCTGTACGGTTTGCGCCGTACAGCCGGGTGTACGGTATAGGCACTCGATATGTCGTAAATTTTCTCTTTTGAACCATTGCCGACTGAAAATTCTCCCATGTCTCAACATCGACGATTGATCTCTCTTTCACGACTTTCTCTAATCTACACAAATTCATCGATCAAGGTATATATCTTCATGCCCGCTGATATTTGTTCGATGTTTCAGTATCATTTATATAATATAGAGTTTTTCTTTTATTTACGGTGCTTTTTTATATGATTCCATTCGATCAGTGAACATATATATCATATACGGAGTAATTTATATTCATATATACTTTTTATATTCATTTTCATACTGGTATGCAGGGTAGTTATCAATTTAGGTTTTTGGTTTTGTTTTCATTCTATTTTCTATTAATTGTGTGAGGGTGTTTTTAATGCTTTTGGTGCTACATTTCAAGTTTCCGCATCTTTTTTGTCATATGCTGCATATATTATGTAAGAGGGCTGTTCCTGTACATATGGATGTACAAGAAGCTCCGTACGGACAAAGCCCATCCGAGGCCCTTCCCGGTTGAATTTTTTGATGAAATTTTTTGAGCATGTTCTTCATCTGGTCTAGTTTATCCATACAAAATTTCAGCTCAAAATTCGATCGGGAAGACAGTCAAATAAATTCTTGAAATATACTGCACATTATATGTGCGCAGAATGCACCATATATTTCAAGAATTTATTTGGCTTCCTTCCCGATCGAATTTTGAGCTAAAATTTGGTATGGATAAACTAGACTTGATGAAGAACATGCTCAAAATATTTCATCAAAACATTCCACCCGGAAGGGCCTCTAATGGCTTTGTCCGTACGGAGCCCCCCGTACATCCATATGTACATGATCATTCCTCTATTATGTAATATCATTCATTACTTCTTTCATTGTCTTTTTTAATTTGTATATAGAAGTTAACAAATTTCAGATTTCTCTGGGAATGATCAAGTATTGAGATCAAGAGTGTGGAAAGATAGAAAGCGTATACTTGGTAAACTATTGAAAGACATTGAAGAATATGTTCAACCACACACTTTAGTTTAATTGAATTTTACAATATGAAAGTGCTATTGATTCCTATCGACATACATTCCAGAAAGTTAATAGAAGTTCAGGATGTTTTTTGGATGCTGCAAGTTCAGGATGTTATGTTCCAGAATATAAAACCCCTCTTGTACTTGAGAAACATGCTTCTGAGCCATATCGCAATTTATTTGTTATATGAAGTCCAGTCCGACTTCATTTTAAGCATGAGAAAGAGTTTCTTCTTTCGTCCCGAGATACCATGGACTATTAGCGTCAAAGAAGGTTTTATTCAGTCCTTCTATGCTTCTTCTGCACCAACCGAAGTGTCTGTCCTTTCACCCAAAGCGGCTAGATATAAGAATTTGTGTTGTGAATTAAAGGGCTAAAGAGGTTTCTGTTGAAGAGTAGACACAACAAAAAAGATTATGTATGTGTTGTAACGTTATGAGTCATCATGATAGTCAATATTGTCCAAACTTCAAATGTCCTTGGACGTTTATAATTTTATCAGTTACTATAGTTATTTTGTTTATGTTTTATTCAACAATGTGCTTCTTAGATCAATAATTACAAGAATTTTGCTTCTTTTTAATGTCATATTGTTTCATTTAAGAATTTTAATTATGTACTTTTTTGTTGCATTCCACCCAAAACAGGACTTTAGATCATACGGAGTGCACACTTGCATATTTCATTTTATTTGTACTACACTAATGACTAAGCATTCACTTTTGATACATACTAATAATGTACGAATCCAGTTTTCATGAATCTTATTTTTCCTCCTGAGGAAAACATTCACTGTAAACTTCTGAAGCTTGAATCTTATTTTTTCATCTGTCAACACTATTGCGGCTTCATACTTCACTCTCGGTGTTGCTAACGGCTACTTATCATCTTTCTTTAACGTATTGTCAATTTTATACTCCCTCCGTCCCAATTTGTTTTGCAAAGTCAACATTTTTTTGTCAACCAATAATAAAAGTCAACCTTCTTTATGCATAATTAATTCAATTTTTAATAAATAAAATTTATATATTCATAAACTACATCAAAATCTCTTCAAGGTTGTAAACTCCAAATTAGAATATAATTAAAAATCGCCATCCTAATCAAGTGAACAAAACGCAACTGTTTGACCAAGAAAAGTCAAATTTGCAAATCAATTCGGGACGGAGGTAGTAGCATATTGCCACAGGCCCACAACTGATTTTTTTGGCTCCCCACTTCCACGCCCCTTATATGCACCTTGCCTTTATATATTTGATCCTTCGTCCCTTCCTTACTCAATTTCAGCATAATGCATTTTAGTAGATGCTTATATGATAAAATAATATTAATGCAAAATTGAGAACATATTGACCATAATGACACTCATTTGAACTTGTTGAATATATTGATTCCCTTTAATATGTACTGAACACTGAATTCATTGTGAATCTTACTCTGCTAACATGATAACTCGTTGTTTTTAAAAACTTCTTTTTACTCACTTTTATCTCTAACATTTGCTACTTTTCTTATGCTATATTGCAACTACCTTTGTATGTACTGTTTCGAATGGGTAATTTTAAAACAATTTTACACCTTTTCATGCACACTTGCTTTGACATTGCTCACCGTATCAAATGTCTTATAGTGCATACTCCACACTATACAATTTATCACTACTAAATAACATTCTATGGTTCATAACCAGGAGACAATCTTTTTAGCACTTTCTGAGTTATTTCATTCACTTTCAGTCTTTCACTCGCCAAGCCACCACTTTTAAAACATCTATTATTAATTATTAAGGAAGCGGTACCGATGAAAACCACGTTTAACGTGAGAACCATGCACTTTTAACACAATTTGATGCACCTATTACATTTTTTAAACATTGGTCCAAACATTCCAACATCAATATTTTTAAATATTCTGCGGTGCACACCATCAATACATAAATGCATGTCACCCACCTCCAATAACAATTTTTCATTAAAAAAAATAATACTAAAATACAACCTTTTAACAAAGACAATACATGCTCTCAGATTTATTACAAAAACTGGCACATGGCACACCCACGTACAACCTCTCTAAAACTCAAGCTTCTTAAAAAATTCGTTATCAATTAAACCACATCGTCATGGACTAATTTTTATCACCAACATGCATAGTAAAACTTGTACACTACTTTAATGCACATTTGTATTTACCTTCTGCAGTTCCCAAAACTTTGACTTATCTGCAGCTCTCTACAACGATGTTGCTTTGATTTTCCTCCGCATGCACTTTACTTCAATTATTATTAATCTAGTAACTATAACTAACCTTGTTAAAAAAGGAATGATTTCTTGGAGCTTTTCGGAATGATCTACATCGTGCAGGCATATTTACCGTAATTGGAAAATGTTTAATTACTAAACAATCCTTACTCAACTTCCTACCCCAATCTCCACGTGCCATGCTACAAAATCCAATGCGTGTCAGTGCACTGAAATCTCATGGAGTTCAATATCGTGGCCTTTGTTTTGCGAGGATGGAAGGTTGAGATCTATTCGTATTTTTCATGTGAACACCTCTTTTCATTAGAACTCATCCACACATATATATATATATATATATATATATATAGAGGAATGCTCCTGTCCAGACGTCCGGACAGGAGCCGCCGTCCGGCCGGCGGCGTTTGGCCGCCTTCCCGGTGGAATTTTTTGATGAAATTTTTATGGCATGTTCTCCATCAAGTCTAGTTTATCCACAAAAAAATTCAGCCAAAAACTCAATCGGGAAGGTCGTCAAATGATTTTTGCAAGTTAACTGGTCCGGAAAATACATATTCCGGACCAGTTAACTTGCAAAAATCATTTGACGACCTTCCCGATTGAGTTTTTGGCTGAATTTTTTTGTGGATAAACTAGACTTGATGGAGAACATGCCATAAAAATTTCATCAAAAAATTCCACCGGGAAGGCGGCCAAACGCCGCCGGCCGGACGGCGGCTCCTGTCCGGACGTCTGGACAGGATCTTTTCTATATATATATATATATATATATATATAGAGAAAAGATCCCATGAGAAGTCCTAATTAGGCTGAAAAGTGAGAAGTGATTCCAGCCGTCCGATTAACTGCTTTGAACTGCCCGATTAGCATATGTATCTCCCGTTTCATTAATGGCAAAGTTGTAAAATTTTCAAACTTTATACCTTTTTTAGTTTTTATTAGTTCTGTAAAATCCGATTAGCTTAGGTATTTGCCGCTCACAATCCTTCTCTTTCCTCTCCCGATGCTGCATCTTATCCTTTTCATTCTTCTCCCAATCTCCTTCAAATCAATCTCCTAAGATAAAGTCTACTGATCGCTCCCTGATTTAGACACTAGGCGGATCCATTCCAGGGCAATAGGCATGGGTTGTTGTCGAGTTTTCCTGCTATGGCGACATCCTTCTCTTACTCACAGGTCCTAAATTGGCTCCATTTTATCTTGTTCAATGGAAATCAGTATAGGCATAGAAGTATAAAGGTATATTTGGTCAGGAGAAATGCTATTGCAGATTCATCTTCACGAATCCCAAATCACCACTCTCCTTCCACTCCATTTGTTCTCATAAGAATTATGGTTTTTAAGTTATACTACGTACTATGTATCTACTACCTGTTTGTTGAAATGCTCCAATGAAAAATGATATCAATAGTTTGTACTTTAAAAAAAGAATGTGTATTGAAATGCTACAATAAATTATTTATGACCTTACGATGTGTATTAGTGTATATGTGTTGTTGATAGTGGAATACAACCGAGTAAACATATGCCTTCCCAGTTTAGTATTTCTTTTTAATTTAAGGCCATTATCATTTTTTGTCGCAAGTTGGATTTCGGGCTGAAAGCATTTTGAAAATCCTTGGATTTATTGTTAGATATATTGATATTGATTTTTTATTGGTTCTGATGAATGTATTATGCAAACCAAAGGCTTTAGTGTGATAGAAGACTTGAGGACATTCACCTTCGGCAAAAATGAATACCCAATGTATGGGAGGGGCTTTTTCCCTTAGAGATTGTGTTTCATATAGGGTTGTTATTCTTATACTAAAAGTTAAGTCTTTTAAGTTACAAGTTACACCCATTCTTTTACAAGTTATTCTTGAATGTTGATTATATGGTTGGTTCTTGTTTGTTTTGTTCTTTTAAAGATGTCAAGGTTATTACCTCAAATAGTAGACCAATGTGCAAATTCGAGGTGAGTGGCTGGGTGGGTTGGACAGTCATGTGAAAGTGGCAGCTTCCTCCAAAAGTGAAGACTGTATTCTGGTAAATTTGTTCAGGTTGTCTTCCAATGACAGCAGCCTTACGAAGGAGAAAGGTTGATTGCGATGTGAAATGCGGATTATGTGGGGAGCAGGATGAGTCTCCATTCCATCTCTTTGTACGGTGTCCAGTTGCATATGAAGCTTGGTCTGTCATCGGTTTGCAGAAGTTTGGTCAGCTGAGCTGGCGAGTAGTTTCGAAGAATGGTTGCAGCTGGTTTTTTCGGTTAAGCTGGGGAACGATTTGCAGTGTTGTTTGGGGGTGTTGGGGTATATGGATGGAGCGGAATCAGAGGGTTTGGGAGAAGGTTCTTTGAGCCCGACTCAATTTGATTATAGATTATATTTGGATCTATTTATTCATCATATTGTTGTCTTTGCCATATTGTTGTACTGGTGAAACTTGAAAGGACTATGATGCAAATGTATTAGTACCATCTGTGCTCAGTACCAGTATTGTGTCTTTTGTCATGGCTATATGGATAATGGATTTGGCTGGATGGTGCAGCACTGCAACCTTTGTTGTTTTATTGATGCAAAATATTATTAGTCCATTTTCTGGAATGGATGACAAACAATAATGCTTTGATATAAATTAAGTTTGTGCTGAGTTTTCAAAAAATAAAAAAGATAGAAATCAAATTCAACATTGTGACCTTGGAATTCAAGAGAAGCTAGGGAAAAAGTGGACCTTTCCACATGATAAAGGCCATACTCAATTGGAGATATACAACTGGAGAATTCCTGGTAATTAACAAGTATCTACGGAGTATAATAACTAATGATGCAAAACGGTAGTGGATTACATGTGGATATGGGTCATGCCCAAAACCAACTTCTACTGAGGGCTAAAAAATAGCAAGAACTTCAATTCCTTCCAGAGTTCCATGGATTGTTCTTGTTTTTTATTTCACCGTTCAACATTTCTTCTCTTGAAATGATCACAAACCCTTCTATAAGGGTTTGAGCCTCGGCCCAGCACATGAGAACATCCTATCTACCATCTTCAACAAATGGGACTTCTTCACCAAATCTCCACTACTACTAATAAAGCTGTAATCATTACTTCTAAACCCAAAAACATGACATTTAATTCACATCAACTTAAAAGATCAAGATTAACAAGAGAATTTATTTAGACAAAAATAGACTTCCAACAACAATTATCACAAGTTCTAGAGCAAAGTTATACAATAACCAGTAACTTTTTAGTCACAAATATACTTTAACTTGAAAAAAAGACATGACAGGACTACAAAATGAATTCAACATGTTATGCTCTCTATGACTTGGATAATTCTCATGCCCAATTGCATCTTCATTCGCTTGCTCATAATCTCATAGTTGTCCTCATCTGTCAAGGTATAAAAGAGTCATTTAGCAACATACTAATAAAGCTAAAATCATAACTTTTAACAAGAAATCCACAACTTCTAGCTCATATATAATGAAGAGCTCAAAACGATTAGCCACTTTTATTTTTAGTATTATTAGTGCATATATTTAGAGTGAAAAATGAAATGAAAAAAGAAACAAGGACAATCAAATGTCGTTTTTTAAAAAATGGAAAAAACATACTGTATAACTTTAAAGAAAATATTCATAACTTTTAATAAAATATTCACTACTTTTAACATAGATGCACTCCCAACAGTAACTGTTAAACCTTACCAATAATTATCAATATAGAGATGTCTAAAACAACAAATGCATCAATGAGGAAAACGAAATTTGTATCGAACACATCAGCACGAATGATATGCTAGCAGATCCTCTCACTAAAGGTCTTTCGCACAGTATAACTTGTAATCCAAAAAGTATAACTTGTAATCCAGGAAGCATAACTTTTAAACCAAAAGATAAACTTTTAGTAAAAATCCTAAGACCTCAGATCTTATACGCCCATATTTAGCACCAGTCTGATGTTCATTGGTTTGTTCAAAATTCTTCTCATTTCTAGAGGTGGGGAAAATCACATTTTAGCAAACTAAAACCATAACTTCTACCTTAACAAAAACTAATAAATTACAAAGCTTTAAAATATTATTTATGCAGCATAAATCAATTTAAGCCAAAATAAGCAACAAAATCACGAAGTTATGAATCTGTCATGTCGTAAGTGCAAATGAAAATTCTTGACTACATTCATTAATATAACAACTAGTTAAGTAAGCTTAACTTTTAAAACAAAACGTGTAACTTTTAAAACAAAAACTATAACTTCTAACTTAACAAAAACTAATCAAATCCAAATCCTTAAAATATTTATGTAGCATAAATCAATTTAAACCAAAATATACAACACGACCACTGAGTTATGAATCTGTCCTATCGTAAGCGCAAGTGACGGTTTTAACTACACTCATCATTATAACTACTAGTTAAGTAAGCTTAACTTCTAAAATAAAACTTGTAACTTTTATTTTCTGTTTTATCATTCTACAACTATGCGATCAAAATACCTTGGGAACAATCAGTAGCAAAAACAAGAAGTGTACCTCATACTGATTTTTAAATGTCTCATCAACATAACTACTACCTAATTAGGCTTAACCTCTAAAATGAAATCAATAACTTTTACTCCCTCCGTCCCCTTTTAAATGTCCACATTGTCCCCTTGGGATGTCCACATTTAATTGTCTCATACCTTATTTGGTAAAGTTTGTGTGGCTCAAAATCATTCTTACTTTACTCTTACTTTATTCTTACTTTATCAATTAATATCAACCACACAAATCCACTTTTCTTAAAACTCGTACAACCCTCTTCCGAGACATTTAAAAGGGGGCGGAGGAAGTATTTTTCAATCTATAGATTGAGAAAATAACTTCAGCAAATTAAAATTACCACGATCAGAATTAAGAGCAACAACGTAACAACATATTAAACTAATGAGTTCCAAGGGAAAAGGAAGAATATATAAACTAAAATAAGAGTCACTATTTTAATCAATTAGAAAGTTTCAACAGAGGCATTGCTTATGCCCAAAAGGATGACCTTTAGCAATTCATCACAATCATAAATCATAAATCATTAACTGCGTGCTTCTAAACTAAAATCACAAGATATAAAGACTACTTATTAGATTTTAGGGTTTTGAGATTTACAAATTATGTAAAATTGAAGAATTTGAAGCTCACCTGCGAGATTTGATTAACCGCGCTAGAACTGTACATTGATATTTGCCGGAGTTTTATGTCGAGCAACCAAAATTCATCATTCCGCACAAACAAGCTTGAATCATTACTATACCTCTCTGTGCGGCCAGGTGGAGCATGGAAAAAGTGAAGAACACTGCCTATTTGGAATCCTGTGTGAACGACAGAGTAGCTCCAAGTAGTTAGAAACTACTACATCTTTGATTTAGATCTCGAGCGAAGAGATAGCAAAAACATAATCGAATTCAGCGATCTTCTTTAGACATCAACGAAGAAATCGGTAAGATCGAGCTTGTGACAGAAAAAAGGAAAAGAGAGGAGTCGATGAGCAGAATTAGATAAGGAGAGAGATGAGAAACTCTTAGTAAAAGGAATGAATGAATGAAACTACCTATGCGAAATACGGAGTACTAGGTATTTAATTAGAAGCACTGGATAGCCGTAAGATTTTACCTGATCGGACGACTCCAATCACTTCTCATTTTTCAGTTTAAGAGAGCTTCTCATCCGATTCATTCTCTATATATATATATATATATATATATATATATATAAATGTGACTAAATTTATTAAAAAGGTAGTTTCATGATATACGTTGTAGTCACTAAAAATTACTGAGTCATTTATTTCCAACATGCTTATTCTAGTAATAATACTCCGTAATATATTAGAAATTATTTCTAAATAATAATCGTATATTATACTCCGTATTGATTTTATATTAAACATAATTGTTTCGGGTTTCCTTCGAAAAAAAAAAAATTGTTTCAGGTTTTGACCGATCCGGATCGGATAATGTACTACGTATTTTAGAGTCCGCTAGTAGGGGTGGAAATAGGCCAGGCGGCCTGTCAGGGGCATGTGGCCTGGCCTGTTAAAAGCCTTATCTGGCCTGACCTGTTTAGTAATCAAACTAGGCTTGAGCTTTTCAAAAAGCCCGTTTATCTTAATAGGTCAGGCCCAGACCAACTCTGAAGCCTTTTTAGCTTAACAGGCCGACCTATTTATATATGTATATATGTGTGTATATATATTTAGTTATATTTATTTATATTATTTACATTTATATTTATATTGGTATACTTAACAATAGCAAATTCGGCATAGTAGTATTTTTATGGAGTGTGTATTATAAATTAGAATAGAATACTATTTTAAATATATATAAAGTGTGTTAATAGTTTATTAAGATAATTGAAATTCAAGTTTTTCAATATTTGAATTACATAGAAATTTATTTTCACTACATAATAATGTATTATTAGACATCCAAAGCAAAACTAACGTATTATTAAACTTTTTAGTGAATATTTGGGGGAATAAATTTTATACCGGATTAAAAGGATTTTTCACTTTTTTTTTTTTAAATTCTATTATTTTTTTCTTAACAGGTCCAGTAAACAGGCTTCAGGTCAGGCCAGGCTTTTAAACAGGCCAGGCTCAGGCCGAAAAACCATGTCTTTAACAGGTAACAGGCCAGACTCAAGCCTACATATTCTAAAAACAGGTCTGGCCTGTTGGCGAAAGCCTGACCTGTTTTCACTTTTCACCCCTATCCGCTAGTGAACTCAGTTTTAGGGATGGAATGAAGTATTTTTTTTTGTGTCGTCCAAAATTAGGAAAACCCAGACTGGTCGCACGTCTTCGGGTCGGGCTAGTTTGAGTTCAGTTTTTTCCCCACACAATGAACGTACTGAAACTAACGTTGATGAAAGGAAGGCCTTAGCTTCATCTTCTCCGGCTTCCCATCGCCTTCCACTCCCATTAAAGGCAATTTCCGGTGATGATAAGATTGGCGGCGGCTGCCACGTCCACCATCAAGCCGCCACTTTTATTTCTGTCATTTTCGATTGCTTCGTCCGAGGACCCCAAGGAGCTCTATTCTCAGCTCCTCTCTCTCCTGTCCCTCCCGAATTGGCAAAAAAGCCATTCTCTCAAGAGGCTATTGCCTTCTCTGTCCCCTTCTCATATCTCCTCTTTCATCTCCAGAAACCAGTCTCTCGATCCACGTACTGCTGTTTCCTTCTTCGACTATCTCTCTCGTGTCCCTTCATTCAAGCTTGATGTGCAGTGCTATTTGTCACTCCTTCACATTCTCCTACCCCGTAAGCTGTTTCCCGCCGCCGATCGAATACGCGTTTTGATGATTAAATCCTGCCAAAGCCCAGATGAAGCGAAACATGCCGTTACTTTGTTTCTGGGTATGCATAATATGGATGATCATGATGATGGTGATGGTGGCAGTAGTCTAAAATTCAAATTTAAGCTCAATGTTAGGTCTTGTAACACGATGTTGATGTCTTTGTCGAGGTTTCTGCTGATTGAGGATATGAAATGCTTGTATCTGGAGATGTTGAGGGCTAAGATTTCACCTAATATTTACACATTCAATACTATGATAAACGGCTACTGCAAACTGGGCAATGTGAGTGAAGCTGAGATGTACATGAGTAAGATCTGTCAAGCTGGATTGAGTCCAGATGCTCACACATACACTTCGTTCATCTTAGGTTATTGCAGGAAAATGGATATAAGTAGTGCACGTAAGGTATTCGAGGAAATGCCTCAGAAGAGTTGTCCGAGGAGTCATGTCACCTATAACATTTTGATGCATGGGTTGTGTGAAGCAGGAAAGGTAGATGATGCGTTGAAGCTGTTTTCACAAATGGGGATTGATCATTGTTGTCCAAATGTCCGGAGCTATACAATTTTGATTGATGCATTGTGCGAATTGAATAGGGAAGTCGAGGCGTTGAATCTGTTTGATGAGATGGTGGAGAAAGGATGCCAACCAAATGTCCACACTTACACTGTTCTCATTGATGGGATGTGTAAAGGAAAGAAGCTTGTTGAAGCAAGAGGGTTATTAGATGAGATGGGGAAAAGGGGTCAAGCTCCTAATGTGGTAACTTACAATGCTTTGATTGATGGTTACTGTAAAGTGCAAAATGTTGATTCTGCAATGGAGATATTCAACTTGATGGTATTAAATAAGTGTAAGCCAAATGTGCGCACGTATAACGAGTTGATTTCTGGATTTTGTCTGGTGAAAAAGGTGCACAAAGCAATGGGACTACTTGATAAGATGCTTAAACAGAAGCTCTCTCCATCAGTTGTCACATACAATTTGTTGGTCCATGGGCAATGTAGCGAGGGCCACATAGATAGCGCTCTCAGATTGCTTACGTTGATGGGTGAGAGTGATGTGGCTCCAAATGAGCAGACCTATGGTCCTGTGATCAATGCATTATGTGAAAAAGGCTGTGTTAAACATGCTCGTTCTATATTTGACTCTTTGAAGGATAAGGGTGTAGAAGCAAATGATGTGATATACACCTCTTTAATTAATGGTTATTGTAGAGTAGAAAATCTTGATGTTGCCCTAACTTTGTTCAAAAGGATGCTTGATGAGCAATTCATTCCAAATTCAAGCACCTATAATGTAATACTTAGTGCTTTATGCCAAAAAAATAAGCTCCAGGAAGCCACTAAGTTGTTGGAAAGTATGGAAAAAAGAGGAGTCAAACCCACTGTAGTTACTTATAGTATTTTGATTGAGAAAATGCTAAAAGATAACGACTTTTGCGGTGCTTATGGGGTTCTTAATTTAATGGTGTCCTTGGGATCTAAACCTGATGTCTGCACTTACACTTCATTTCTTGTGGCATATTGCAACCAAGGGAAGTTGGAAGAAGCTGAAAAATTGATGGCAAAAATGATAAAGGACGGGGTAATGCCAGATTTGATGATGTGTACAGCATTAATGGATGGGTATGGACGTTTGAGATTACTAGAACACTCCTTTCGTACTTTTAAATCCATGGTTGGTGCTGGATGTAAACCTTCTCTGTATACCTACTCAGTTTTAATCAAGCATTTGTTACATGAAAATCGAATAGAAAAATGTGTCAATAGGTTTGAAGTTGGATCTATAAACATTGTGGATGTGTGGAAAATAACGGATTTTGTAACTGTTGTCGAATTGTTTGAAAAAATGGTGAAACATGGCTGCCCTCCTGACACAAATACGTATAGTACACTTATTTATGGACTTTGTAGAGAAGGACGCTTTGAAGAAGCTCGGATGCTTGTTGATCATATGAAAGACAGTGGAATGTCTCCTGGTGAAGATATCTATAACACACTGATAAGATGTTGCTGCAAGTTAAAAAGGTATGATGATGCAGCAAATTTGGCTGATACAATGGTTATGCATGGTTATTTACCACATTTTGAGGCCTACAATTTCCTTGTATGTGGATTCTATGAAGAAGGACGTAATGGAAGGGCTGAGGAAGCTTTCTTAAAGCTCCTTAACTGTGGTTATAATAATGATGAAGTTGTATGGAAACTGTTAATTGATGGCTTACTTAAGAGAGGGCTTTCTGATAGATGCTCCGAGGTTTTAGGTATCATGGAAAAAAATGGTAACCTGATTCATCCTCAAACATATACTATGCTGATAGAAGGACTTATTCAAACAGAAGGGCGTGTAGAAGAATAGTAATGTGCTCAATTTAGTATCCATGGAGCACCTTCATGCAATGATTCTTACTTCTGCAACGATTTGTACGCAATTCTTGAGTTGCCACTTCAGTCAAGTAGTCCTGTCCAAGAGCTCCACCTTCTAGTAAAACTGATCAAGAGACCAAGATTAAGTGGCAGCAGTAAGACTTTTTAATTTTTTATTTTGTTTTATTTCATTTTATTGCGTTTTATTATCTTGCTTTTGGGACTAAGGCTTGGATGTTGTTGTTGTATTCTATTATCTTACATTATTCTGTTTATTTGGTTCCAGTTTTCACAGGAAAATACATCCATTACATCAAAAATATTTTATACTCTTTTAGTTGACACTTGACACTCACCCACATACTGACATACATCCCTCTGTCCTAAAAAGGTTTGCCAGGTTTTACTTTTTTGGTCATCAAAGATGTTGAGATTTGACCAATCCTGTTTTTATTCAAAATGATTTATACTTCACAAAAGCAGTTTAAACACTTTATTAAAAAACCTTCAACAACGACATCCAAGCCTTAGTCCCCCAAAAAACTAAAAGTACAAATTTTATTGTTTTCACTAAATTGAAAATGTTTGTAGGGCATTTTATTCAACATTGTCCAACAAATGGTGACCCCAATTTTGACGTCAGGAAGGTGAAGCCTCCAACTGGTATTCCAAAGTCCATGCTAGTGACTACCCCAGACGGTTCATATGCTTTACCAAGTGGGGCCAGTGCTGTTATGAAGCCAAATGAGTAAGTTGGATCAGGTTGGTGTATTATTCCTGGACTAAGAATCTCGTTCTAAGCTATTGTTTTGAAATCATTGCAGGGCTGCCTTTGATAATGAAGTTGAGGGCATGCCTTCTACGCGCTCCATAGGCGAGCTTCCTCCAGAACTTCATTGTCTATTATGTAAAGAAGTCATGAAAGATGCTGTCCTTACTAGCAAGTGTTGCTTCAAGAGTTTCTGTGACAAATGTAAGATTCTGACCCGTTGCTCTCCTTTACAATCACATGCTATTTCAGCAGCCTATGGTGTTTTAAGCTTTTATTATTGTCATCATGTATAAGAGATTGCATCATTTCTAAATTGATGTGTGTCTGTGGGGCGACTAATGTTCTTGCTGATGACCTTTTACCCAATAAGACTCTAAGAGACACCATCAATCGAATTCTGGAGTCTAATAACAGCAGTGAACATGGAGGCAGTGTCCTTCAAGTTCAAGGTTTATTTTTTGGGTGCTGATTTTTTTTTTAGCATTAGTGAAAAAGGAGTTATTGCATAACAATCATCAATTAACTATTATTTACATGTTCAGATATGGAGTCTGCTCGAACTCCTTATCCTACGATTCCGTCCCCTTCACAATCTGTTGCTTTGCGAGGAGGAGATAAGATGCTCCTGGCACCACCTCTTCAGAAGGAAGAGACTTTGAAGGCTCAAGAAGCAATAAACGAAGTAAAGGTGGAGACTGTTCTAAAGTGTTGGAGAGAGGGAAAACTTTAAAGGTGGTTGATGTTTCAGAAGCTACACATGAGTCAATTAGTGTGAAAGAACCAGCTTCTCAGGGAAGTGCTCCACTGGTTGATGAAGTCCAGCAGAAGCAAGCTGCTTTAGATGCTGGTAAGTTAATCAATTGTTCTATGATGGATATACTTCCAGTTAAAAGCATACTGTTGCTTCTGTAATTCTTTTGTAATCTAATTGTAGCCTATGCCATACACTCCGCTAAAAAATGTCCATTTTTAAAATCTAGTTTTGACCCGAAGAAGAGTCGCCTATGATCTAATGTGCCCAAATTTTGATAAATTTGTTAGCTAAACTTTTTTTTTTTACTTTTTCCACATTGAGTTAATCTAACAAATAATTTTTTTGATGTTCGTTCTACCTAACCAAAATTTTATTTTTGTACATTGATTAAAGGGTAGTATATTTTTCTAAATGTCGGGATAGGCGTCCTTCTAGGCACCAGGTTGGGCGCTCCAATTTCATCCTAGTACGGTAAAATAAACTGATCAGCCGACTAGGGTGCCTAGAAGGTTACCCGGGCTATGTGGGTGCTTAGGCAGGCTGGGAGGCTGCCTAGAACAGGCTAGGTCTGTTAGAAGGGTGACTTGGCAGCCCAAATGTTATTTTTGTTGCTCTGTCTGAATAACATTGTTTAATCATTACTTATTCTATTTCAATTAAAATGTTATTTACTACTTTTACAAGAAAAAACAAAACTTCCAATTGTATTAGGGAGTGTTTGCGATTGCTTCTACTTTAAAAAAGCGATTTTTTAAAGTGATTTTGGAGAAGGTACTTAATAGTAAAAGTTGGTAGTGTTTGAGAAAAAAGTGATTCTGAAAAAGTAAAAGTTGGTAGTGTTTGGTAAAATAAGTACTTTTTGTGTAATAGAAAAAGTGAAAAGCAGTTTAAAGCACCCTTCCACCTGCGTCCAGCTTTAAGCTTTTAAGTGATTAATTTAAGCAGAAGTTGTCATTTGAAAACACTATTTTCAGCTTTTTTTAAGCCAAAAGCTGAAAAACGCTTTTTTAAGCAACTGCAAACACTCCTTTAGACTATTAGAAATATGAATCTTTTTAATTTATTAATATTTCTCATTTGCTCTTATTCATTATTTATTGATTATTATTTAACAACAAAAGTGTAAAATTTAATAGATATTTAATCTATTTTCATGACTCAAAATATAAACTCATTAATTAATAATATTAAAAATAACATAAAAAAAATTTAATAATTAAAATAAGGAATAGAGAAATGAATAGTATGTTGCAGAAAATTTTGAATAAGATGCACCACCACCCGTCTAGCATGTCTGCATGTGGTACCTTTTAGAACTTTGGGTAGTAGAGTATGGTTTGATCCAAGTAGATAATAGTTTTAAAGGAGTTAACTTTTGAAGCAATAGTACTTGTGAAACATGTTGTGCCCTTGCATTCCACTATATCTCTTTATTGTTTGCTTTCCAGGAAAGAAGAAAAAGAAGAAACCCCGCATGCCTTCAACCGGTACACTCTTTTGAGAATTACTACGTATAATTTGAATTCTGTTCCTTTTTGTTTTTCAACTCTTGAGGCTAGTGATTTCCGTTTGGCCTTTTCTCTGGATGCTTTTGCAGTTGCAGAGATGCAGTGGAGAGCATCCCAGGATATGGGTGCTGAGAATTATATGATGCCCATGGGTCCTTCTTAGAATCCATATTGGACAGGAATGCAACCTGGATTGGACGGATTTGGAGGCCCGTTTCCTGGTCCCATGCCATTTATGAATTATGGTTTTGGCCCGTTGGATGTTCCATTTGGTCCGATGGTGCCACCGAATCCATTTGGAGGACAAAGTTGCATGTTACCACCTTTTGTCCCTCCTCAGAGGTTATATAATATGATTACTCTTTCTTTTGTAGTTCGATATCTCTATGGGATCCTTTTTGGAACCTTCACTGCCAATTAAGATGTTCTTGTGTAATTTCTTCTAAAATGTTAAACTACAGAGATCAGGCTATTATGGGATTTAATGCTGGCCCTCCTATTATGAGCCGGGAGGAATTTGAAGCTAGAAAAGCATATTTGAAGAGGAAGCGTGAGTTTGAAATGCGGAGAGAGAGGTACCAATGATCATCTTGTTTGTTTACTTCATGGTTTCCCGACCAACCAAGCCTTCTGGATTTTCATTATTTTGTGATTCTGGTTTCTGTGTTTGATTGTGAATTTGTAATCTTACATTGTCATAGTTCACGCTCTTTGTGAACACCTGCACTGAGTATAAGTTACATTTTGAGCGCCTAACGAATTTGATCTCCAAATATTGTGGAATGCCCTTTTAGGTGCTAACATATTTGATTTCAACTTGAATCTCATACATTGTATAAGACAATTTGCGTAGCTACAGGACCTTTGGTAAAAACGTTTTAGACTAAAAAATAGTGGTTTAGATGGATTTTGGTGTTTTTGACCAAGTTCGCTGAGCAGTTTTTTTTTTCTCTCTTTTTTACAGTGAACAGCTTTTGCCCCAATGACTTGGAATAAAAGATCAAGCAGAAAACGTTATTAAGATGAAAAATGGGTTTTTACAAGAATATTACTAAAATAAGATGAAAAACAACATAATACCATTTTAATTGTACATTTTTTGGGGTAAAATCTTACGTCCCCCCCCCCCCCATTTATTGGATGTTGAATAGTTGTCTAACTTTTAAACATCTAATAAATGGATGCAACATACGGAAGTACACAAAAAATGTACATAAGTAATGTATCCTTAAACTTATTGCTCTAAATATATGAATGCTTTTTTTGATCAATAAATTATACAATGATGTCTTTGTAAGTCATTGAACTTGTTAACCGCTATCATTAAACAACAAATTTCACTAAAAACGTAGCTAACCAATCGCAGAATAAGACCTATATGAATATTGAATATGCAAGAAACCAACTTGTAGTTATATGTTATGTATATGAACTGAGAGAGCATTATCCATTTATCCACGAGACCATGCCTAGTTAATGAAACTATTGATGCTTGATTCCAAGGGAGTACCGGCCTCCGGCGGGCTTAATTTTTTTGGGTTGAAGTCGAGTACCGGCCCGGGATTTACCGGGACCGGGCCGGTCTACCCGCCCAGGTATCGGGCCGGGCCGGGCCGGGTTGGGTCCGGGCATTTAATTTTTTAATTTAAATCTTGTTTACAAATTAATTCAAGAAGTGCTACATATAAAAAACTTTAAGTATATTTATCTGAAATATGAACTACAATTGAGAATTGAGAAAAATTTAAAACATGAAATACATTTTCTAATAAATAATAATCAATCGGAATCTCTGCCAACGTCGGTTGTTGTTTCCTTCATAGTGGCGGGTGGGGGCGATGCTAACTTTTTGAGTTCTACGTTGGACCTTCAACCAATCGTGGAAGCAAACAAGCGTCTCAAGAGAGTTTGCGCTCAATCTCGTTCTATAATCCGTTAGCGCGTTGCCAGCCGCACTAAATTCTTGTTCCACGGCAACTGTTGATACCGGCATTGCTAGCACTTGCTTAGCCATCTTACATAAAAACCGGGAACGTTCTTTCTTTATCCTTCCACCACTTTAGAAAGGCAAAGTCATCCCTTTCTTCATAGTCAACATGAAATGTTAGATACGTAGAAAGCTCGTTGATCGAGCTTTGTTCAACAACGGGAGTTGATTTAATTTTTTTCATAAGATTGCCAAATGTAGATTTCAAAAATGATTTTCCTTTAGATGACGATATTCGTGTCGGGGGAGGGGGTGTGTTACCATATTGTGCATGAAACTCATTAAGTAATTGATGAAATAAATTACTAACATTGTTGTATTCTTGTTTAGGATCTATGGGCTTATCTTCGTATATAGGAAATGGACCAAAAAAAGAAGCATAATAGTAGTCTAAACATTGTTGCAAAGCATTAACTCTGTAACGAGGATCAAGAATAAATGCAATACAATATATATGCGGAATATGTGAATAATATTTTAAAAACTTTTCTTTCATGAAAGAACAAAAATAACTAACGTAAGGGGCATCGAAAAATTCACAAAAAGCACTGGCGAGATTAACAGCTTCTCGAAAAAATTGCTTTGCGGTAGGTTTATAAACATGACTAAAAGTTTGAGTTGCATTATTAAAAAATACCAAAACATTCACAATTTTTTGCATAGCGTCGATGTCAGTCGGTTTATAATATAGTTAGCATATTCTTTTAAAAAAGCAGGAAAATGGTCTTTAAATCTAATAAGTACAACAATTAAGTTATAAGTAATATTACAACGGATAGACAAATCTTTAGGAAAAGCACAATATTTGACACGTCATTCCCTCAAATAATTACGCCATTGCATTTTAAGTGAATTACTAGCCCAAATAAGTATAATTCTCCCTTTCACTATCTCCATAGCATTTCCTAACGCGGCTAGCTTGTCTTTTACACATAAATTGAGAATATGACATGCATATCCCTGATGAAAAAACTTACCCATCAAAGTAGAAGAACCACACAACTCACGCAATCTAGATATAACAACAGTATTATTACTGGCATTATCAAAACTCATAACAAACACCTTATTAATCAAATTATACTCAATTAAAATACACACAATGAGAATATAAATATTATCAGCGGTGTGTCGATCATTAAATTTACAAAAAGCAAGAACATGTTTATGCATTTCCCAATCATCAATATAATGTGCAATGACACCCAAATAATATAAATGATGATGAGTATCCTCCCATATATTACTACAAATACTAACACGCCCATCAAAGTTTGCGAAAAACATTTGTAATTTTGCCTTTTGAACCACATTGCCTTATAACTTCTTTTTTAATCGTTTTGCGACTAGAATTTCTAAATTGAAAATTTTAGTACCTTGAGCATATTCTTTTAAAGCAAGACTTTCAAAAAAAATAAAAGGCAAATTTTCTTCAACAATTAAGTGTGACATACCAGTCAAATGTTTGGAATCATCATAGGAGAAATTACCAAAGGGTTGGCCAGTTACAAACCTCGATATTTGAGTTTGCTTCCCCTTGCCTTTGTCTAATTTCGCAAACTACACGGGGTGACGGGCCTTAAGATGCCGTTTGGCGCCCCCGTATCCTTGTGAAATCCCTTAGCTAATATCTTGATTGCAATGATTGCAAGTTGCGTATCACTTCTCGATTTTCAGGTCCTTCCACTTTGTATACTTATTTTCCATAAGGATAGATTTACCTTTTTTACCGGGTTGGGATGAACCAACCTCGTCCTCGTCGTGGTGTCAGCGTCCGGGGTGCCGACACCCTCGTCCTCGGCCGGCGAAGGACCGTCCTCCTCCGCATCCTCATCCTCGAGCTCTTCCTCAATGTCGGGGATGTCACGTTGTTGGAAAAAGCGCCCATCTTGTTGGGCCAATAGTTGTTCTAGTTGCTTGTCGGACATCGCATTTGCATCTCTTCATTGGTAATCCATTTCAAAATAATCCGGGCTTTAAGAAGAAGACCTGATATGTCCTTTACTTTTGCGCGAAGAAGGATGATTCCTCGCAATCTCCTTCTTTCGGTTGCGGTGGAGGTTACCGATATCTACAGAATGTCTACCACGTTTCATCTTAAAAATGTAACAAATATTAAATTCTAACAAATATGTTAATATGAGTACAAAAGTAATGCAACTAATAACAAATGTTATAAATTTGATTATTTATTAAATATGTTCATAAAATATATATTTTTGAGAGAAGAAATATAGTTTAACTAACTACAAAATATATGTTAATTAACTACAGTTTAATTAACTAAAATCCCAACTATTTTAATAAATACTTTCAATCTAACAAGTTTAATAGTTTAATTAACTAAAATTTCAACTATTTAATTAATACTTCAATCTAACAAGTGTAGTTTAATGAGAAAAAAATTGAACTACTTTTTTGTTTTTAAATAAAAAATCGAACTACTTTAATAAATGAGATTTTTGCATAATTAACATAAATATTACCAAAAGTCATGGGAGTTACAAGAAAGTGACTTATAACACGGAACATGTATGGGGATCATGGGATTAAGCTAGAGCAAAAAGTCATATTTTTGTTAGTGAGGTTTAAAGTAGTAATATTTGTGTAATTTTTTCTTAATAACTAGTTAAAGTCACACTTAAGCTAGGGCAAAACTTACTTTATATAAAGTCAAGTAGTCGACCCATAGGCCCATGTTTATCACAAAATATTTCCCAAACCCCGTGACCACTAGTCACGACAATACATAGGGTCCAACCCTAATGCATCCAATTTATATCTACCCAATGCAATTCTAGAGCTTGGGCTCAAGTGCATCTCTTTACATTGGCATAGATTTGACCCTAGGTTCCAAACCTTATATGACATCATCAATCTCTGACATCATGTCCACCCATGCAATTCTAGAGCTCGGGCTCAAGTGCATCTCCTTACATGGGCTGAACCTAAACCTTATGTCTACCCAATGCAATTCTAGAGCTCGGGCTCAAGTGCATCTCCTTACATTGGCATAGACCCCAATTCATAAGCACTCACTATGCCTAGAATTGTCATACATAAAATTATCTTGGGACATCCTATGGACTGCCCCAACTCAGTGGCGGATCTTGCAATTAAATGTTGGGTGTTCGAAATTACTTTACCATTAAGATGTTATCTAATAGTACAATATATAAATTATTACATCAATTCTATACATGTATTTTTACACTTAATTTTCAAAATTTTGGGTGTTCACATGAACACCCCTGAATAAAGAAGGTCCGCCACTGCCCCAACTTAACCTTAGTTCACACTAAGACACAAATAACACTCGAAGTCCATCAAGTTCATCACAATACTATACAAACCCTAGGTTTGATTCTATCAACAATTCGAACAATCCTTAACTAGTATTTCATTACTATTAAGATTATTCTTACAAAAACATTTACTCACATATGGGAGCCCCTACATATTAATAATATGTGGCAGCCTCCCCATGTGTTCAATTTCATCATTCAAGTATTCGTTTACATAGGCATATCATGCATACATGAGTAGAAATGTCTATTTTTACATAATAGCACATTTATACCTCATTTACTCCATATTCATCAATATAGTTTCAATTTATGATCAAGTCCATTACTTATCATGCATATCATGTTCAAGCATCTTTATTTATGAAAACATGATTTAAGCATTTAGGTAATCTCATGCATAACCTACAAGTTGTAAGCAACTAGATGTCGTCCTCACCTTAATGAGCTTTAGACTTACTTTCACACTCCAACGACCAAGGCTCGGCCAAGGAAGGTTGCGAGCTGACTCCTTGTGTAAAAATGGGTGGGCAGCAGCCTGCTCTTAGCAGCTGGCTCAACAGTCGGCTCTCAGCAGTTGGCTCAGCAGTATGCTCACCCCCTTAACTCACGAACTGAAAACAGCCCCTAGCAAGGGTGATTCCTGACGAGTTCGTGTCCTAACCGTTCAAGGTTCATTCAAGGTTAATGCCTAACCTTTAAACTCACATATATAACATTTCAAGAATACATTCTACCCTAAGAACAAGGTAGAATAGCCTCCTAAACCTTACATACGATCTATGTAAAGAAGAGGAAGTTTTCGGGTTCAACTCACCTCTAGAGAAGAAGAAACCCTGCTGCGAGCTCGTACTTTCCAACGCAGATTTGGAAGCCTTCCACAACTCTAATCGTCACGATCCACACCATTCCAGAATCCTCGTTTTGAGATCTTTCTCTGGACACCTCATACGCCTGATTTGAACAAGTGAAGCTCAAGATATGGGCTAAACAATCAACCCTACGCACAGTGACAAAAACTGCGAACTGCTCTCCCTTTTCTCTCTTTCTTTGTTCTGATCGGTTCTCTTCTCTTAGAAGCCAAGTAAATCCGAATGGGGGGTACTAAGGCTGTCCCTTAGGCCTCCCAAAAGGTTATTCCTCTTGTGTGGAGTGGGTTGAGTGAGGTGTGGATGATTCTCCACCAAGTCTTACTAAATAAGTACAAATGGGGTCCAACCCTTATCATTTTATTCTCTACACAACCCCACTCCATCATGGTTCGCCCCAAAAGTCAACATACCATATTCTCTGTCTCGTAAGTGCCAAGGAGGTGTGGGACGCACCCCCTTCGGTCCAAGTCAGCCCGGAAGGAAAATCCTTACCGATAATTCCTTACAAAGGAAAATTGAGTCTTATTATTTGTGTCTTCGTAATGTGATTTCTCTCCATGTACTATCGGGCTCTTATACTAACTAAGATGGCCCACATCAGTATTTGGAAACTCACTCTCGAAACACGGATCCCAACGATAGGTTAACAAACACAAGTTACATCAAACACTACTCGTTTCACACAATGTCAAAGCATGAGTTACATACGATAACACACGTGTTACACACGGCTGGTGATTATAAGTTCAATACATAAATTACGAAACTTTCAAACAGTACATTCAGGTACACACGGGTGCCGTGTCACAGAGATGATTAAGAGTATTAGAGAATAGAGAGTAGGAAGAGTTGGAGAAGAGGTGTAGAAAATTGTATTGAAAATAAGAGTATATATAGAATTTTTTGGTACCCCCCCACCCCCAAACACCCCCAGGACCCCCCTCAACGGCTATACAGCAGTTTGGGACTTTCTCAACGGCTAGGAAGCTGCCCAATCATTAAAAAAAAAAAAACTAGCCGTTACCGCCCCGAACCGGTTCCGGTCGGCGGGCCAGACCGGTACTAAACAAGGCCGGGCCGGTCGAACCAGTCTCGGCCATCCCTAAATTAGATCTTCAAATTTTTGTAAAAAGTTTGGCTAAAAGGTAATGCCGAATAAAAATGTAAGAATGTAATTAAATAACTATGTTGGGTGAATATATCGACAGTGCTAGATTATACTCCCTCCGTCCCTATTATATCTTCCAAATAGGTTTGGCGCGGAGTTTAAGATAGTGGGTATTGTGTGGTGGAGAGTTGTGCAGAGGAGAGAGAAATGTGTAAGAATTGCTGTGAACCACAAATTCTGGCCAAAAAAGGAAAGTGGAAGTTTTAATTGGGACGGACGAAAAAGGAAAGTTGGAAGTTTATTTAGGGACGGAGGGAGTAGAAGAAAACCGGATTGATGGATTAATATAGAGTTTCCACTTAAACAGTTAAACGGGTTGAGAGTTGAATTTATTGACGATGCATAGTTGTAAATAGCTTTTTAACTTCATATGTTCTTCAGATTTATTTTTTAATTTTATATATTCGATATTGGTGTCATATGAAAAATAATAAAAATTTATGAAACTTGATGCATAGTATATTTTTTTAAAAATTGGGACAATAGTATAAAAGTTATAGCACTTTAAAGAAAGAATGAAATTTGTAATTTTACATTGGCCTACCATCACCTCTTCCCATTTCTTTGTTGTTACTTAGAGTTTTACTAATCGTCACTTGATATGGCGGCTCTCTTTAACCATGATTTAGCCCAACAACAATTTGGTAAATATTTTTAACTTGACATTAGTTTCGTAAATAACTTTATTTTTAGCATTATTTTTTAAAAAAAACTCTAATATTGGTGTCATAAAAAATCCTAAAAAATTATGAATTTTGATATAGTATTTAAACTATTTATAGAAATTGGAGTTTAAATAAAAAAAGTCATACTCTGTAATAATTAAAACAAAGTTGGGATTTTATTATTTCTTGGGCCCTATGACAGAATTCCTAACGCTAGAGCCGTATCCTACCGTCGCTCTAATTCCCCACCCATGAGTGTTATGTACTCATTTTGGCAGCCATAAATACATAGATTTGAGCAAAATAGGAGTGAAAACATCACAATTGGCATTTTGACCTTATGCATTGTGGTCAGTCTAAGGATCTCTTGTGAGCCAACTTGTAAAATATGAAATGAGTGATAAAAAATGAAAGCAGTAATTGAAGCATTTATTTCAGAATCCAATCATACGTATCTAAATAAACTTGGAAATTTATATACTCCACCCAGTAGTATATGATTTAATTTGGATTGAGATCTTTTGCGTTATGGCAAAGTACCTTATCTAAATAGAGGGCAGGGATGACCTAAATAGACCCACTCATCTTATCTCATTGATTTTTTTATCAGATGACTCAAAATGGGCAGGCACCCCTACTTGGAGTATAATGCCAAAGCAAGGCAGATGAGCTGAATCCATTTCATTTACACCCCTACCTGGAGTATAATCAACGAGCCCTGCAGGCTGCATTCGCAGCAATGCTTGGACAACGAGGGAAAACAGCAACTCTGGACAGCAGATGCTCGATCATCTATATATCAAGCAAGCTTTATGAGGATATTTTGAGACAGTTATCACAAGGATTGGAACCATTTCTGCAAGCACTGCGGTTAATCAACTCCCCAAAGTGTCCAACTAATGCTTGCCGACGGCATTCATTCTGCAATTTTGAACAAGTCACAATACTGGGTAGATATCATATTACTCCCAAAGATGCAATTGAAAAAATGAAGGTGTTCTTCAATTTCGGTTAAAACCAACTCGATCAAAACAAAACAGAACCTGAATCAGAATTGGTAACACAGTTTGTGTTCTAATTCTGACCTGTTACACGATTAGGCCCCAATTTGTCAAAAAGTAAAAAATAAAAACTCCATGCTTTGTTACCATCCGTCACTTCAGAGTTCGGAAACCCAAGAAAGCAAGTCTGAAAGCCCCACAACTCTTGTTTCTGATGTTTTGACTATGAATGTTACTGACTATACATTGGGACATCAAGTGTGCCTTCTTAATTTGGTCCATGTTGACTCAGTTGACCCACACTGATTGGCGGACCCCTGGTGAAGCAGTAACCAAAATAGGTCTAGTCCCAATTCCATTAAAAAGAGAAACATAGTCTCTCCATTTGGTCCGGTGAAATTTAATCGAATGAGCTAGGATCCCACTACAATTTTCTTAATATGTGTTTTTGAAATAAATCAAATGAAATGCGCCTTCATAACTTATTAGGGTACAATGATTATTTATCTTTATTTTAGCCATTTTATCAACAACAAAAATAAATGGTAAGTTTTGAACTATTTTTTGTGTCTTTAGAGGGTTCATCTACAAACAATGGGTTAGTAGTTTTAGACCTCGTTTGGTGACCCTGTTTTTTGGCTTATCTGGCTTATCAGCCATCTTTTTCACCAAACACATAATTTTTTATTTTATGCACTGAATTGTGTAAAAATAAGAAAAAGTGAGGTTGTATACTTTTCTGGCTATATTGGCTGAAGTTACTATAGAAGATCATTTTAGCTATTTTTTCATATAATTTTTTCTTTGTTTTTTAATAAAATATATTTTTAATACTCCGTATAATTTTTTCAAATCAGCAGAATCAACCAATCCAGCCACTCCGACGAGAACTTCATAAATTTCAGCCGAATCAGCAAATACAGCCCGATTTAGGTATTACCAAACGCCCTCTTAAAATGAATATGAAGTATATTACGCAGTATATACAGAAATGATAAAACTGATGGGCAAAAAAATAGAAGCACCAGTCTGACTGTGCATTTCTTGGGAAAGCCTAAAAGGAGAGAGCACCTTTAGTTCACAGTAGCTCTGCATCTTCCTAGCTTGATCCATAGCCAACTTCAAGCTTTCCCTTCTATATCCTTGACCGCTTCTTAACATGCATACCAACCGGCTGAAATCCTTCTTCTGATATAAAACAACACATGTTGCAGGGAGGTTATCCCTCCCTGCCCTTCCCGCTTCCTGATAATAGCTTTCAATTGATTTGGACATTGTGTTGTGAATAACAAACCGCTGGAAAGTTAAAGCATAATAGGTTATCTGAACCCTGAGATTAAGATCATAACAAACTAGTGCCTTTATTCCTAGCCTTTAATTTCAATTGGAGGGATTCAGCCTTATTCATATAACCATATTAATATTTCCCCATGCTTTTTACATGAGAGGATAAGTTCACATGATGCATTGGGAACAGATATTCTCATATATGGTAAACAACAAAAGAAATAATGTGGAAAATCAAATGCTGTGAATGAACAAGATAATAGAGAAATTGTGTACGAGACTATTAAGGTCAGTTTGGATGACCCAGTCTATACTCTTGATGTATATCTAAGATTTTATGAGTTGAAAGAATGGCATAGTATGTGATCATACATGACATTTATATCACCTTTGAGTTGTTTCTAGAAATATTTTACTCATCAAGATATAGACCAAGTCCTACAAAGCCTCCCCCTCCGGAATTTTCTATACAGACGGACCCTTGTGAAATTAGAAAAATCAGAATAGAGACTCACAACATCAGGTTTGTCTATTCCCATCCCAAAAGCAATAGTGGCACACACAACATCAATTTCTCCAGCACGCCAACTCCTTTGAGCTGTGACTCTCTGACGTGCCGACAACCCAGCGTGATAATATGTGGATTTAATCTTGCACTTTTCGTTCAAAAACTTCGAAACCTCCATGCACTCACTTTTTGAAAGGCAGTAAATAATCCCACAAAGTTTCTTGAATCGATTGGCTAATACTTCTCCAAGCTGCTTTAGCGGCTCCTTGCCCTTTCCAATCACTTCATACTTTAAGTTTGATCTATCAAAACTCGTCTCAAGTACAAGAGCACGAGGGATATTTAAGATCTTCAAAATATCCTGCAAAATGAAGCATCAGAGTAGAAACTTCAGATGGGTTTTTTATGCATGTTTGTGATGGCTTACAAAAAAAACGTTTTTTTCCAAACAAGTGCTCTTTAGAAAGAGCCAATTTGATGCTTCTTAGTTCAAAAGTGTTTCAAACGCTATAGCAGCTAAAAATTGATTATTATCAATTCAGCAAATCACTATTATTTCATTAATTAATTAATAATAGCATCAATATATTGGTAGGAAATTTGGAAAACGTGCTTTTGTCAGATCCAGAAGCAAGGCCAGGCTGACTCTCTGATTCACGCATGAAAATTATAGAATTTTTTTCCTTACTTCACGCACTGTGTGGGTTGCTGTAGCAGTTAATGCCATCACAGGTACATATGGGAAGTTTCGCTTGAGACAACTCAAGAGTCTATAATCTGGTCTGAAATCATGTCCCCATTGGCTGAAAAAACATAGAAAGCAAAATAAAAACTTTATCAGACTGCCCAGCAAACCAAGTCACATTATAGTGCGACTGTGAGATTGAAATCTTGGATCTAAATATAATTTTGACTACTGTTTTTTTTCTTGATTTTATAAATGCAATGTGCAATTCACTTGAACTTTATAGACCAGTGCAGTATTTTTTGGAAAATTACTGTTATAGTTTCTTAAATTTTCTGATGCCAAGTGCATGCAAATGATTTATCACTCATTTCATTCCTTTAAAATTACTGTATATATGAGCTGGTACATTATTTAACTGTGAGGCATACCTTACACAATGTGCTTCATCAATGACAAACCCAGCTAAGTTTCCCTGTATTTTGTATAAGAAAATGTGAGAAACATCATCTGGGATTCAAATGGATTGTCAAGTGCATCAAATTGGAAATTGGCATTCATCACTGCATTAAAGAAATACCTTCCTGTGTAGGGAAGTAAGCACCTCTTGAAAATGTAGGTTTCCAACTATCCTCTCAGGAGTTGCATAAAGGAGCTTACATGAATGTTTATCTTTCCTATAAGTTAAATAATAATAAAACTTTAGTAATTAAACTCGACTATTATATTGAATCACTGCCAAGATTCTTTATGAGACCCATAGAAACACAGTTTCAAAGAAGCAACGTCAACTACAATGTAGCACCAGGGAGCTACAGTCAAGCATGTGTGGAAAGTTGGAAGTGGTCTTGCACCAATATAAAAAAATTCACGCGTATTCCATGCACAAACACCTGAAAGACTACATAGACAGATCATTTTAACGGTTCAATTTTTCCATATCCTCTCTACATTCTTCCTAAGGACTTGGAAGCCTTTTCATGAGTTCTGCATGGATGTTTCAACAGAACATCATCAACCCCTAACATCACATAAATTTTAAAACATAATCCCTCCATCCCACTCAAAAACGCAAATCACATTTTAAGATGTTTGATTGATCATGAAATTAATTCCCGACTGTTAGACAGACTAAAAGATAGTCGGTTATAAGTTTGTTCCTATTATTAGTTGACTTAGTTTAGTCTGTTGAGCTGAGCTTTGTATGACCTGGCCAGTCTATAAATACCTTGTATCTTCTTCCAAGATTAATAAGATCAGCTTACAATTCTCTTTCTTATCTTTTCTAATATGGTATCAGAGCTTTGCTCGATCCATTAATGGCGATCACAACAGAAACCACAGATTCAACCTCCAATTCTTCTTCCACCTCTAAAACATCTCCAATAACCTTTACGCATCCTCTTCCAGTAAAACTAGATTCTAACAATGTCCTTTTCTGGAAATACCATGTCGAATCAGTCGTACGTTCTCACAAACTGCTTCGATACCTGGTAAAACCTAACATTCCAGTTCGATTTCTCAATCGCGAAGATGAATCTAATGGAATCGAGAATGAAGCATATATCACCTGGGAACAACAAGACCAAATGCTTTTCTCATGGCTTCTGGCGTCTCTATCTGGAACTTTTCATGCTAGAGTCATTCACTGCAGGCACTCGCATCAGCTATGAACTGAAATAACGAAGTATTTTCACTCGAATATCATCGTAAAAGCAAGACAGCTTAAATCCGAGCTCTATAATACTGTTAAAGGTGATCGCTCAATCTTAGCTTATCTTCTACGCATACAAACTGTTGAAATATAAACTACAAAATATAATATTGAAGAGAGGAGGGAAGATTTTCTGTGTATTTCTTTGAAGGGTAAGGCCCTATAAATATAGATTACAAAGATAGAATATTCCTATAAAATAATACTATATATGGTAAATTTTTAATATATTCTAAAGCATATTCTAAAGTATATTCTAATATACTTTCACACTCCCCCTCAAGTTGGAGCATAGATATTTATCATGCCCAACTTGTTACATAAATAACCAACTAGAATTCCATTTAGTGCTTTAGTGAACAAATCTCCAAGTTGTTCCCCAGTCTTCACATATCCTGTAGACATCAATCCTTTTTGTATCTTCTCTCGAATAAAATCACAATCGACCTCAATATGCTTTGTTCTCTCATGAAATACAGGATTGTTTGCTATGTGTATAGCAACTTGGTTATCACACCACAATTTAGCAGGCATTGATGTTTTCAGTCCGAGCTCGATCAATAAATGGCATATCCATATGATCTCACATGCAGATTGTGTCATAGCTCGATATTCTGATTCGGCATTTGAACGAGAAACCACATTCTGCTTCTTACTCTTCCAAGATACAAGATTACCACCAACAAAGACACAATAACCAGATGTAGATCTTCGATCATCTTTAGAACCGGCCCAATCAGCAAAACATTCTATTCTCATGTGATCATGGTTTTGATAAACAATACCTCGTCCTGGTGCACCCTTTAAGTAACATAATATGTGTTCTACTGCAGCCCAATGATCAATGGTTGGAGATGACATGTATTGACTCACTACACTCACAGAATAGGCAATATCTGGACGAATGACTGCGAGATAATTAAGCTTTCCAACCAGTATTCTATATCTTTCTGGGTCTTCAAACGGTGTGCCTTCTTGAGTGAGTTGCACATTGGGTACCATGGGTGTTGTACTTGGTTTTGCCCCTAATTTCCCTGTCTCAGCTAGTAAGTCAAGTACATATTTACGTTGAGATTGAAATATGTCTTTCTTACTTCGTGTTACCTCAATTTCCAAAAAGTATTTCAAAGAGCCAAGATCTTTTGTCTGGAATTGACTATGCAGAAAATTCTTAAGGGCCAAAATACCTGCATTATCACTCCCTGTAATCACAATATCATCAACATACACCACAAGCAATGTGACACCTGATTCTGTTTGTTTGTAAAAGACAGAGTGATTTGATTTGCCTTTTATCATTCCAAATTGTTCAATTGATTGACTGAATTTCCCAAACCATGTACGAGGACTCTGTTTCAGACCATAAAGAGATTTGCGAAGTCGACAAACTTTACCATACTCCCCCTGAGCAACAAATCCCGGAGGTTGCTCAATATAGACTTCTTCCTTAAGGTCACCATGCAAAAATGCATTTTTAATGTCCAACTGATGTAAGTGACAATCATGAGTTGCAGCGAGTGAAATAAGTAACCTGACAGATGTTAATTTAGAAACAGGAGAAAAAGTGTCAGAATAATCAACACCATAGGTTTGAGCATAACCCTTCGCAACTAATCGGGCTTTCAACCGAGCAACAGATCCGTCTCGGTTAACCTTAACAGCAAAGACCCACTTACATCTAATAGATTTCTTCCCTGTAGGCAAGTCAACCAACTCCCAAGTACCATTAAGATCTAAAGCATTCATTTCCTCTACCATGGCATGACGCCATTCAGGATGAGACAAAGCTTCTTTGACAGATTTGGGAACAGAAATAGAATCAATGGAAGCAATAAAAGAACATGAAGCAGGAGATAACTGATTGTACGACACAAATGAAGAAATAGGATGAGTGCAAGATCGTGTACCTTTACGTAGTGCTATTGAGAGGTCAAGATCTGATGTGGAGATAAGATCTGAAGATGCAGGTACTGGTTCAGGACATGAGATCGGAGTCGAACTAGTATCAGGATAAGTAATCACAGGTATCGGCGGTGGAGGGTGATCAGGTGCTTTGTGTCGACGGGTGTATACCAAATGTACGGGAGGCCTAGGGTCAGGAATAGTAACTTGTGGAATATTTTTCGAAAGTGTGGACTCGGGAATAGTCATCGTGTAAATGAGTATATCATCATTACTCTCATGAATATCTGCCTTAGATGATGAAAAAGGTGTATCTTCATGAAATGATGCATCAATAGAAACAAGATACCGACCAGTACTCGAACAAAAACATCTATTCCCCTTTTGGACTCGAGAAAAACCCAAGAAAATACATTTTAATGATTTGGGATCTAACTTTGTAAGATGAGGATTAACATCTCTAACAAAACAAGTGCAACCAAATATTTTAGGTGGGATAGGAAAAAGCTCTTTGTTTGGAAATAGACAATGATAAGGAGTTTTACCATTCAAAACAGAAGATGGCATTCGATTTATCAAAAAAAATGCAGTAGACACGACATATGCCCAAAACTATTTAGGCACATTCATTTGGAATAGAAGAGCCCTTACAGTTTCTAACAGATGTCGGTTCTTTCATTCTGCAACTCCATTTTGAGGAGGTGTGTCAACGCATGAAGTTTGATGAATAATGCCATGTTGAAGCATAAATGACTTAAATGTAGGAGATATATATTCTTGGGCATTGTCTCCTCTTAACACCCGAACAGGAACGTTAAACTAATTTTTAATTTCAGCACAAAAGGAAGAAAAATGAGTGAACAACTCAGATCGACGTTTCATGAAATACAGCCATGTCATACGAGAATAGTATCAACAAAGGTAACAAAATATTTAAAACCAGCTTTAGACACAACCGGGCAAGCACCCCAAACATCAGAGTGAACAAGGTCAAATGGAGCATTTGCTTGTTTATTAACTCGCGGGCTTAAGCTAGTACGATTGTGTTTCGCAAATTGACATAACTCACATTGTAAAGAGGTCATCTTATTAAATTGGGGATTTATTTGCTTCATTAATGGGAGAGATGGATGTCCTAATCGGTAATGAGCATCTAACAAAGTCCCAACCCCAAGACAAGAGATACCTTTTGTGATGGATGTATCCAAAATATAAAGATCAGCTAACTCATGTCCTTTACCAATAATCTGCTTCGTTAAAAGATCCTGAAACACACAATATCCAGGAAAAAATGTTACAGAACAATTAAAAATACGAGTGATTTTACTGATGGAAAGAAGATTAAATGCAAAATTAGGAAGACTCAAAACAGGCAATAATGGTAATGTAGAAGTTGGAACAACAGTACCAGATTCAAGAACGGATGAGGTAGATCCATCAGCTAAAGTGACACTAGAAATAGGTAAATATGAATGAAATGACAAGAATAGACTAGGATTACCGGTCATATGATATGTGGCACCTGAGTCAATGACCCATTTCGAGGATGATGAAACAAGACTGTGTTTGAAATACCTAAATTCATGGTTGCCGAGATAGGGACATATGAATGCTTTAGTGTAGAAAATGTTACATTTAATTGTTATTATTAGATAGTGTACGTGTGTAGTTGTAGATAAGATTACAGAGTAGATTAGACTGCAGTTATTAGTAGATAAGTATTGTTGTTGTATATATCCTATTTTTTAGGATCTTCATAGGGAGTTTGTTTACTGTACTCTATATATATATTCAGGCCGTATGGCTCAATAAATTCAAGGAAGATTAATTCCTAAAACCTACATGGTATCAGAGCCTCGGTTTACACATCACGATGGTAGAAACCACAGATTCTGATTCATCCCACATTACCAACCCTAACTCCCAAATTAACCCTATGACAAATTACCAATCTCCTATTCATTCATCTATGCTAATTACCAGCCATAGATTGAATGGAAAAAACTATTTGGAGTGGTCTCAATTTGTAAAGCTCGCAATTGATGGGAGGGGAAAA